AGTGGAGACAGATTTTGGTACGGAAGCTCATCTTCCCTATAAATTTCTGTTTTGAGGTGAAGAGGTAGGTAATCCTCTACATACCACAAATCTGATGTACCATTCCAGATACCACTTGGTGCTCGATGATGTTGAAGTACCACTACAGTCTGTTGTGACCTAGCCACTTGACACACAGGGGTCCCATTACTCGGTCATACATATTCTGGGATTACTTTTGTTTTTCAGCCTTTTATGTTCGCGACACAATCATAAAAGAGCAAAGAGTATACCTGGATCAGGTGTGGTGTGGTCTTCTGTTGAGGTGTGATGTTTTTTCTTATGGTTCCACACCTCCTGGTATCTCTTTGGGTGCTTCTTAACGGGGGAACATTTTTTTCACTGGCCCTCTACTAGTTCAGTGTGGGGTTTTAGCTATTTTATGAGAGGAGGTAAGACATTGTATCAGAAGTTAGCATTTTCTTACACTGAAAATATATTTTCAATAGATACTTATATCCTTTCACATTTCCCAATCAGCCTCCCCACTGCCAGTAATATATGGTGTAGGTCTTCTGACCAATCTCAAAGTGATTAATGAGTGCAAATGTAAAGGGGGCACTGGTTAAGATAGAGTTGTGTCATGCTCCTATTGGTGAAGAGCTGCTGCATGATCATTTGCATATAGATGTGCAGAAGCGGGAGGTGGAAGGCTAGTGGCAAGCATTGAAAATTTGTGCCGATAGAGGGCAATATTTATTGAGAAAAATTGATTTGTGAGAAAATGTAAGTATCTATTGGAAATATATTGTCAGTTTAGGGTTACATGAATATCTGGAATAATCAAAAATAGTAATAATATGAAACTCTACTTTTGATAAGTTGATTATCTTTATGAAATTTTGATTTAATCATAATTTGGATTATTCTGTGGCATTCTAATCGATGTAGTCAATGCTCAGAAATAAACATTTAATTACCCAACTGTATCTCTAAACCTCAAAACAAAACTATATGCACACATATATATATATTGGTATACTTTGGTGACAGATTTTCTTGTAGGCAGATTTTGTTAAACAAGACCGATGTCTGTAGGTTTACTTTCTTCTCAAGAAGTCGATAAGCCGTCTTAACGTTGTTAGAACAACGGGTAAAAGTTGTAGCTAGTGATGAGTTGGCCGACGCGTTTCGAATGCATTCTGCATCCATTATCAAGGCTGAATGTTGTGTGAATTATGATTACTGTTGGTGGATATTTATAGGTATGGGTAAGCAGGTGGTGGTATCTAGCTCGTGGGAGGTGTTAATTCGGTTATCTATAAGGTTATGTAGCGTTGTTCTTCCATAATTTTTTTTGTTACACCATATTAAAGAGTCTAGTGTTGGTTCCTAGAATAATTTGCTCTTCCACGTTTTCTTTTACGCATTTGGGAAACTGATTCTGTAAGCTCATCTTCAGCTTCTTTGTACCCAAATGTCATCTGTGCAACCAAAGTTTGAAACACTTACTAGCTCTTGAGCAAGTACAAGGCTTAGATTAACGACCTCTACACTCCAGATGTGTATATAGATATATATATATATATTTGTTTTTTTTTATTACTACCGACGTTTCGCTTTTACAGCCTCTTCAGAGTTAACGCATACAAACTGTTTGATATTGAAGTATACGTTAATTTATAAAACTGATTGTGATGTTCCATTTCTCGAGTCTGTCGCACGTGTCTCCAACGATGTATAAATTATCATTGTTGTTTCATTATTGTTCTAATATAATATATTTATATTACGTAGCTACACTAACATACGACATATATTACTAATATAAAAATAAAGAAAACCGAAATATGTTTTATGATTAACTGAAAAAACACAGACAGAAATAGAATTTGTTAAGAAACAATAGAAAGTGGAAAGGATTCGAAATTTATTAGCAGTGTTAAAAACTAATTGTAAAACTGTGTGGTAGTACTCCAGAGTAGCAAGTCTTAAATTGGAAGTAATAAGCGTAAATTGTATTGATACGATTTGTTCTGTTAATGGTGTTTTAGTCACATGTACCATCCATTGTCTCTGTTAATTTTGGATTATTTTCGTTAATGAGTATAGCTTCCATATGTATTTCCTCTCCTTAAAATCTTTGTTTTTTTTTTTGTAAAATACAAACTTGAAATGTGTTCTGTGTAGGAAATGTTCTGCTGGAGCGGTTTTGTGTTGGTCGTGTGTATATAGTGCATTGGTGTGTTCTGAGATGCGTATGTGGAAAGGTCTTCCGGTTTCTTCTATATATGCGTCTCCACATATGTTACAAATGATTTGGTAGACAACGTTTTTGATGTTTTTTGGTACATTTTGTTTGCGAGAATGAAGAGTGAACAAATAATTATTTCAGTGTTTACCTGTTTTTGTGTTACGTTGATTGTCAGTTGGCTTTACGAATCTTGTTTGTGATTGTATTGTTTAAGAAAGGAATATTCATTATTGGCGTTTTCGTGTAAGTCTTGTTTTGGGGCTGTCGCTGTTTTAATGGTTTTTTTGTGATTTGAAAACACCGTCGTTGTAGTAATCGGGGTATCCGTTTCGTAATAGAAGTGGTTCACTCATTTTGTGCTGTTTGAATGGCAATCGGTGTGGAGCAATTTTGATTTATTCTCCTTAAATCTCCTATTATGGTTCCCCTTTTGACTCGTTCTGGGTGTGTGATTTGTAATGGAGAAATATCGGTTTCTTGCTTTCTTTGTTATGCTCTGTATTTCCCTGTCTTGGATTTTTAGGGTTATGTCTAAGAACGTTAAGTATCCTTATGCGTTGGGTAGTTTTAGTGTGAACTTGACTGAGAGGTGGAAGATGTTTAGGAAACAGTAAAACTGATGTAGGGTTTCTTTTTCATGATTCCAAACACCAAATATGTAATCGATGTATCTGTGCCACATATGTTTTTCGTTTGTGTGTCAAGGGCTTTGGTTTCTAAGGTATGCATGAATATTATAATAAATGTGACTGCTGCTCTGTTACCCATTGCTACTCCTTTCTCTTGTTTGTACAAAGTGTCACCAAATTTAAAATAACAGTTATGTAGGACAAAATTGAGCATTGTTCGGATTGTGTCTAATGTGATGTTACCTGGAAAAGCATGTTGATCAAGAGAAGATGTGAAGTTAATGATACTATCTTTGCCTTCTTCTATAAGTATGTATGCGTACAAGGCGATTACGTCTAAGGAAAATAAAATGGAGTCAGCGCAAATTGTTTGTGTACAAGTGTGCATCTTTTCTAATATGTCTTTACTATTGGTTAAGTGTGATGGAACATACTTTAGACACTGTTTAAGCAGTTGATCAAGTAACCAGGATATGGTTTCTGTTGCAGAGTCATACACTATGGGTCTTAAAGGTATATTTTGTTTATGGTATTTAGGGACTCCATATAGTTCAGGTATACGGTTATGGGAGGGTTTTGATTCTGTAAGTAATTTCTCTGATAAAGCACTTTCTTCTTTAAGATGTTTAAGTATCTTTTTGGCTTCTTCTTCGACTGTTTTGGTTGAATTTTTATTTAATGTAGTATAGGTGGAAGTTTCTTGAAGGTGTTCTTTTATTTTACCTTGGTAACTATTTTTGGTTAAAACTACAAAACCTTTTCCTTTTGTCTGATTCCTTTATGATTAGGTTGTCGTTACTTCAGAGTTCTTTTATAGCTATCTTTTCTGCTGATGAGGTGTTATCTTTTTCTTGATGATTTTCATGTGTAGATATGATATTTTTAATCTGGTGCCGTAGAATCGATATTTTTTTGTTCTGTGACCGTAGATGTTTTTGGCGGTTCATACTTCTGTGAGTCAAATGGGTGATTGCTGATTGATAGACGATTCTGATTATGTTCTTGGTGACAATCAACGTAACACAAACAGGTAAACACAAAAAACTATTTGTTAACTCTTTATTCTCGCAAAGAAAATGTACTAAAAATATCAAAAAAGTCGTCTACCAAATCATTTGTAATATATGTGGAGACACGTATATAGAAGAAACCGGAAGACCTTTCCACATTCGCATCTCGGAACACATCAATGAGCTATATACACATAACCAGCACAAAACCACTCCAGCAGAACATTTCCTACACAAACACAGAAAAACAGAACCCATTTAAAGTTTGTGTTTTACAAAAAAACACAGATTTTTAAGAGAGAAAATATATGAAAGCTATACTCATTAACGACTAAAAATCCAAAAATGAACAGAGACAATGGATGGTACATGTGACCAAAACACCATTCACGGAATAAATTGTATCAATACATTTTACACTTATTACTTCCAGTTTAGACTTGCTTACTCTGGAGTACCACACAGTCTTACAATTAGTTTTTAAATTTCGAATTTTTTCCACTTACTATTGTTTCTTAGCAACTTCTATTTTCTGTCTGTGTGTTTTCAGTTAATCATAAAACATATTTCAGTTCTCTTTATTTTTATATTTTAGTTTAGTAACATATGGTAATAAATCACAAAGAGCTACGTAATACAAGTATATTAGAACAGTAATGAAACTACAATGTGTAAAATGTTGTTGTAGACACGTGCGACAGACTCGAGAGATGGAACATCACAATCAGTTTTATAAATTAACGTGTACTTCAATATCAAACAGTTTGTATGTATTAACCCTGAAGAAGCTGTAAAAGCGAAACGTCGGTAATAGTAATAAAAACAAATATATATATATATTTATATATACATCTGAAGTGTAAAGGCTTACGGGTAATGGTTTATTTTCATGTTTTCACAAATATTTTGTTTGGTTTGGATTTCGCGTAAAGCTACACGAGGGCTATCTGCGCTAGCCGTCTCTAATTTAGCAGAAAAAGACTAGAGGGAAGGCAGCTGGTCATCTCCACCCACCGCTAACTATTGGGTTACTCTTTTATCAACGAATATTGTGACTGACCGTCACATTATAACGCCCCCACAGCTGAAATGGCGAGCATGTTTGGCGGGATGGGGATTCGAACACGCGACCCTCAGATTGCGAGTCAAGCACCCAAGCCACCTGGCCATGCCGAGCCTCATATTTTATATTGTCAGGTATTTTGCGATAGCACGTAGAAACAATGCTGTAATCTTGAAAGTTCTTGTTAAAAAACAAGTAGAATTATTTGTTTTGTGATCCTTGCTGGTGGTAGTCACAATACTATAGTAAAACATCCATTGTTTGTCTTGTCAGCGGGAAGCTTTGAGGGCTTATAACGCTAAAAATTCGATACCTGCGGTGGGCACCGCAAATATAGTTCATTTTGTAGCTTTGCTCTTGGAAGCAAACAACCAAATTCCATAAATGTACATATGTATGTATATATATTTTTTTCATGTATGTAAATACACTTAGAAGAAAAAGACACAGTTCAATACGGAACAAGAAAAAACTTCAATTTTTAATCAAGCATTATATTTTGTTTTTATGTATATCAATATAGGGAAGAAAAATTACTTTTCAATAACTTGACTCGCAACGGACGTGTACATGTGTAAAACAAATACTTGTTGTGTTTTTACTTTGCATTTTCAATCTGGCACCTTTTGTGACACAATCACTGAATAACCAAGTCAGAAACTTCAACTTTTTGCCTGCATCATGAAAACTAATTTTTTGCTCAAAGCTGTCGATTTTAAAGTTGGTTTTTATGCATCAGTTTACGTGTTTGTTTAAGTTTTCTACCATAGCAGAAACGTCAGTCTCCATACATTTAAAACATGTAGATAAGTTTAGTCAACTTACTTCTAAAGCATTCTTTTTAAGACAGAAGAACACTTTTAAAAAAGAAAACACCATAATTTTATTTATTTAGTTAGTATTTACTTAAATTTCTGGAAGTTAGTAATATTATGAAAGATTTACTTATGAGAAGTAAAAATGCAAAAGGTTTAATTATCAAACACTAGGTGGTTACAAGCCAGCGTCTTATGTATTGTCCGAATCGCTGGTTGGTTTTCATGGATTTTATTATTGCTATATGACAGAACAAGTTTGATCATTAACAGTTTTATACCCGTGATCCATGTGTAATCGTTATTAATTGTTCACCAAAATTTTCAAGTGTAAGCGCTACTTAATTATTAGAAAATGATAGCACTACACTGTGTTATAAATGTCACCGCTAATATCCTAAACGTTGAAACAGAAATTAAAGAGCTTTATATTGGTACTTTTTTTTTCTTCTAAAATTAATATTGTGAAAATATATAAAACATAAAGTAGAAGAATGCAGTAATAACAAGAAGTTAATAGAATAAAAATATATGCATGCGAATTATTTAATTTCAAATTATATTCTTCATTAAGTATTACTTTAATAATAATTTCTTAGCCTCGTTCTAGTAAGAAAGACATATACTCAGACAATGAAATTCTGAATGTTTAACATTTTACAGGCTTCTGAAACACTTATTAGATCAGCTATGTTTTCTGATTGTACGACACTAAAGTTATGTATATTGAAGCACAATACACAATTAATGTTGTATAATGGCGCCAACAAATACACAATAATGCAGATTTTGAGCATCCATCGTCATACAATTGGAAACAATTAGGGAGCTACTTAAAGTATAACAGTAAGTTTCTCCAGCATCGAACAAATTAAACCGAAGATTGCTTTAACACTATCTAAAGCTCAGGTTTTGTATATATATACACGTGGTGATGTTTTCTCAATTTCTTGGCGGAATGTTTATGTATTGTAAAACACGTAAGTCGTTTCCTCACTTGTACTTTATAAAAATTTTTATTGTTAACTCTTCTAGATAACAGTACCATCGTATGAAGCGTTTGATAACAGGTAGGGATTTAAACATTGATTTTGTGAATTGAAACCATTAATTTCAAACACTCTCCATTGAAATAAGATGCATGCTGGGAGCCTCGCGTGGTGGTTGAGGGCGGTGCTCAAAAGCAGGAACGTTATCACCTCTTCGTTTCCGTTTCCGATGGCAGGCGGCACATAAAGCTAACATGGAGAACACCGCAGCTCCAACACTTAACCCTACAACAAGGTATATGTCCATTGAAACTTCCTTGGTACCTGGTAATCAGAAATATAATTGATGCTTGATTGTCTGAACCTTTAACTTTTTAAAGATAATATCTGAAGCAACAGAGAAAACAGACTAGCATGTTTAGCATAAAAAATTAAATATAACTAATAGGCATCTTAAACAATATTGTTCATTAAGGATGCACAAGATCGGTATAAGTGTGAAACAACAAAAAATTAAAAAAGTCTGGTTTTTACAAAACCTTGCAAGAATGGGAATAATTGTTAGTAATCATTAACGATATATCTCTAGCTTTGTCATGTCGAAATGTTGTTTTATAATAAAAAAAACTGTTAATGATATCTCTTGTATTATATCCACATGTTATCATGTCATTATAGTAAATAATTTTTTGCTTCATAAATAGCATCACAACATAATTGTATGTCAATTATTTGATTGAGTAAGCTTTAAACCTAAATACACGCTTTCATAAAGTTACATATATTCTTTCATGTTTGCTCTAAAGGAACAACACTTTTCCTTCAGTTAAGTTAAATTCATTGCAGTGAATAGCCAGTAAAATCCCAACATACTCTAAAGCTTATACAGGTTTAATTATGACTAAAACTGAAATAATGATTTAGAATTAAACAGTGAAAAAAAAAACTGTGTGGCTCACAGAACATTAAGAGCGTTTTGCTGCAACAGGGAATTGAAATTCAAATGAGGAAGAAATGGCGTCCAAAAAAATCTATTCAGATTTAAGCGTAGAGTTATTCAAAAATGTCAACATCCAATCTTTTCACAACATCCACAAAAATAAATGCATAAATCTAGGACACACATTAAGTTAGCAACAATAAAGCTATTTTCAAAGATGCTTCAAGAAACTAGTTACGTAGATAAAAATACGTATATTTTACGTGTGAAGATGGTCAAGTAATTAAACTTTATGAAGGATCACAAATACTGAAAGAACGAATTAGATGATGTGTAATGGATTGACGAAACAAAGATTAAGTCTTTTAAAACATTTGCTAAGGTTTTGTGACGTATAAGCAAAGCAGATGCGTAAGTAAAACACAGAAACATGCTGGTGTGTCTTTAATGGTAAGTAAAACATAGAAACATACTGGTGGGTCTTTAATGGTATGAGGATGTTTTCCTGCTGCAGGAATAAGATATGAGAGATATTGAAAGTTGGGGTATCACGAACAAGGATAAGTTTCACACTGGCATCCTGGTTTGTCACGTAATACCCAATGATTGCTGAATAAGAGGTATATAGAAGAGAACGATAGAGCCGAAGGTATTATAAAAGTTATGAAATGACCACTTCAAAATTCTTATGATAATCCAACTTAAAGTTTGTAATACCAATTAAAAATTAATGTTGCAAAAGGGAAGCAAACTCTGGGAGATCATACAGTAATAAAAATCGCAGAAATAAGAATTAAGATTCTTAAAGATCTTGTAGCATCCACACCGAGAAGGTGTCATATCGTTAAAACTAGAAGAGAGCGTATCAAATATTGGTTATTTAATATATATTTTGTTCCAAACTGAACTTCTTATGTTTAGCATGGTGAAATTTATCGTTAATATAACACGTAAATCAACCTTTCGTGAAAACTAGCGTTGTTATCTTGAGATCAGACTTTTACCCAGTATTATGAGTAGCACATTACAGAAAAAAAAAAGATAATGGCCTATGATCAGTATAATTTGTGATATCGAAATCTTTCCAGTAATATTCGATATCAGAAAATTATTCTTATAACTTACAAAAAAAATAAGACTAACAAACTAACACAATACAGAACATTCAATTCACACTATCACTGACAAATAGCTACTCAGTGCGAAACTTCCTTACAATTATTTTCATCTGTGTCGTCATCAAAGCCACAGTTGGATATTTGATTACATCTGAGAGTTGACGAAATACAAAACCTACTGCGTTCACACAGCAAGTCTTTACACGTGGTCGCAGCTGAAAATAATAAACACTTGGAATCAAGAGACAGACAATTGCATAAGGAATAACAAACCACAGAATCGAAGAAACAGGTAACTAATTAAGTACAGCAATAGATAAGTCAAAGAAAACAGCTAGAAAGAGAGAGAGAGAGATTAATGAAAAAAAATTTTACTTGTTGATATGCTTATTTATATAATTCTTTACAAACAATTACCTTCCTTCACCTCTGTCCAAATGGCTCTAAACCCCCCAGAACCGACCGCTTTGTCCGCCGTGACAAACCTAGAAATATGAGTAACACAATCTTTTATATAAGCTGTCTATTCTTATATTGTAGGTTAAATTTTTCTGCGATTATGGCTTTAGACAGTCAAGTGAATGAAACATTTTTTTTTCCAAATGAATTCATTGAACTTCATACAGATACTAAGGTTAATCGCATTTTATAAGAACAAGTCCTCTGGTGGATCAGCGGCAAGTTTTAGGAATTGCAATGCTAAAGTCTGGGGTTCGAGTACCGCGGTGGGCAAAGTGCAGACAATCCTCTGTGTAGTTTTACGCTAAAAAACAAACAAACTACAAGAAAACTATGTTCCAGTTCCCGTACACCCTTGGAACTACTTCAGCCATCGTCGGTTACTTTCAGTCTAATAGCCATCATTACGTACTATTGTTTCATACCGTAATTACCATGGTAACAAGCCTCTTAGAAGAACGACGGGGTCAATCTTAATCTACACGTCTTGAAAAACTTTCCACAGACTCTCCACTATACATGGACGTGGCTTCCAATACTACGTTAAATTAAGCCAGTCAAAAGCACAAAAGTCCATTAAAACTGCATCAGGGAATTTGACAGGAATGTGATCGGATGGGATTGTTATATCGTTTGTTCTTGCAATATTTCTTTTCAAAAAGGCCGTTGATTTCGAGGTATGGCTGGTAGCTTCTGAACTTTCTCATTGTGAGCGTTTGTCAGTTTCAGATCTTTCTTTAACATTTGTCTATGTTAACAGCACTGGAAATATGCTCAGTATTATAACAATGGCGTTTTGAGCGAGAGAGTTCTCTTTCGTAACCATAGCTTTCACTTTGCCAGTGAGAGCATTGTTCCAAATTGGCTAGTGGTATGGTAAGCTGAAGCCAGATTAGCAAGAATAAAAGTGCTTTATTATATATAAATAAAACAATAAATTCACACACACACAACAATGGTAAATCGAATTAAAATTAATTCAGTAATAACGGCTATTTGGAAATGTTAGCTTTTAATTGGATGTATGACGTAACTTGTAATTAACCTGTTTTGCAGTCTATTGTATTATGTTATATAGATTGAAGAATTGATGTATTACTGTAACATGTAACTATGATATTGTAGTTTCATCTTTGCTTACTGTAATATGAAATACTCTGTCAGGGTATTCTCAGTTATTTTTTATGTTTTGGGGCGTGAAGGATCTTAGTTCCTATTGTAGTATGAATGAAGTAGTAACCATGACATGTAACTTTTTAAGAGCTTAGGGTTTTATTCAGTAATGTGTCCCTGTAAACTAGTGGCGTATATCAAGTTTTGTCGCCGTATGTTTCAGTGGGTCAAGTGTAAGTTTACATACAACGCTAAAATCCGGTGTTTGATTCCTCGTAGTGAACAGAGCCCACGGTGTAAAGTTTAGCTAAAAAATCAGAATAAACAGAAAATAATATATCCGTAACGTGGAATGTGGCCATTGTGACTTCGCATCGTTCATTTTATTGACAGTAGATAGGGGTAGTTAGAAACTATAGATATACCGCTGTGCCACTGGGGGGCATTATTAATGAAAATAGCAAAATGGTAACATCTTTCTTATTTTACTTTCAGTAGACATTTGTCATTATATATTTTACCAACGTATGTCATTAATAGATTTAGATATTGCTACTCCTTAGGTTGGGGTTTCTTGTTATTGATTTGTTATCCAAAATGTTTCTTAAACTTACATTTTCCATCCTAGATTAACCTTAATTTAAGTTAATCTTTATTCAGGTTCAGCTTACCACAAGTTAACACTGTTTGAATAATTAGTTTTAGTTTGGATATTATTTTTAGTTATTTTGTGTCGTGAAAATGTGAGGTTACGGAAGTAGAATTGAAAATCAATTAATTCTGTTCAGTAATTTGCCTCCTCCTCTCCATATTTTCTCATATGACATTCCATTTATCCAAATCTTCGAACCTTTCGATATGCGGGGGTGGTTTACCTGTGTGTGTGTGTGTTCATTCTTCTAAACCAGAAATACTACAAACAAAAATAAATACAGTGCCATTTTGTTGCTGTCTGAGCTTGCAATCATAAAACTTTCAATTGGGACATTATATTTAGCATCTACCCAATCTACTCCAAATGAAAAAGATAAAAAAACGCTGATATTATATAAGTAAGTTAGGTTTACAAAGAAAACTCGGATATTCTCAATTGCATAAGTATTCAACCTCTTTGCTACGGTAACCCTATATCAGTTCAGGTGCAAAAGAATAGTTTGAAAGGGCACAAAATTAGTGTAATGGTCTCTGTCTGTGTGTATTCAAAGTGGTCTAACTTGACTTCAGAGTAAACGCATCTGTTCAAGCCCCAACTCACATAATGATAAGACAAACCCACCATGAAGACCAAGGAGCTTTCCAAACAAGTCAAGGATAAAGTGGCAGAGAAGTACAGATCAGGAGAAGGTTACAAGAAAATTTCAAAGTCGCTGATTATCCCTTTGAGTACGGTGAAGTCCATCGTTAAGAAGTGGAATGTGCTTCATACCACCCAGTCACTACCCAGATCAGGCCGCCCTTCAACTAAGCAGCCGGGCAAGCAGGAAACTGGTTAGAGATGCCACCGTGAAGCCAATAATGACTTTGAAAGATTTGCAAAGTTCCATGTCTGAGATGGGAGACAGTGTTCATACATCGACAATATTCTGGATATTTTGGATATTATTTTGTATTACTGAAAAAGAATCATCTTAAAACTCGTATGGAGTTTTCGACAAAGTATGTGAATGATACTGCAGACATGTGGCAGAAAGTTTTGTGGTTAGACGAGAAAAAAATTGAGCTTTTTGAGTCTAAATTCAAAACGTTACGTCTAGCGCAAGCCCAAACACAGCACATAACCCAGTTAACACCATCCCAACTGCCAAGCATGACGGTGGCAGCATCATATTATGAGGATGATTCTCATCAGCAGGAACTGGTAAGCTTGTCATGATTGAGGGGAAGATGAATGGTGCAAAGTACAGGTGATTCCTAGAGAAAAATCTGCTCGAGTCAGCCGAGAATCTAAAACTGGGTCAAAATTCACATTTCAGCAGGACAACGACCCGAAGCACAAGGCCAAAGCCACACTGGAGTGGTTTCAAAAGAAGAAAGTGACTTGAAGATTTCAGTCCATCAACAATCCCCAACGAACTTGTCAGAATTGGAGCAATTCTGCCAGGAAGGATGGGCAAAAATTACAACATCCCACTGTTCAAAGCTATTAAAAAAAACAACTCACAGCAGTAATTACTGCCAAAGGTGCTTCCACCAAGTACTGACTTAGGGGTTGAATACTTATGCAATAAGCAAATTTGAATTTATATATTTTCTTTGTAGGTTTTGCTGACATTCAACCTCCTTCACACATAACAGTGTTGAGTTGGATCATAACAGTTTTGAATAAAAACAAGTTCATTTAAAAAAAAAAGTTTACATTATTTGTATTTCATCAAAATGTAACAATATTTGCGAGGGGTGAATACGTTTGCAAGGTACTGTAGGTGTTCATTAGGCTCAAATCCCCGGCCCACCAAACATGCTCATCCTTTCAGCCTTGTGTGTGTGTGTGTGTGGTGGGGGTGGGGGGGTTATAATGTGACGGGCAATCCCATTTTTCATTGGTAAAAGAGTAACCCAAGAGTTGGAGGTGGGTGGCGTTGATTGGCTGCCTTCCCTCTGGTCTATCACTGCTAAAGTAGAGACGACAAGCGCAGGTAGTTTTGCACGAAATTCAAAATAAACTAAACGAGTTATGTCGCTTGTAACCGTGGCGCCATGACTCTATTAATATATATATAAATCGTTCATATAAATTGCGATTAACCTTCTAAAATACTTTTCCTAAGGATTTTGTTTTCTAGCTGCACAATTATATTTTAACATCATAATATTTTAATACATGACGCGTTATTGCTCCTCATACACACAGGTATAGTAACAAATGATCCAAAAAATGAAGAATATTCTAGCAAATACACTTATTTATCAACTCTTGAATGGAATTTTATAATCATGTGCACAATTTGTGATCAAGTGCACACTAGGAAAACCCCTGCACTTTATCGTGTGTTGTTTTAGATATTTTTAAATAAAACATCTGTACTGACCGAAGTAAACGGAGTACGTTAACCAAAAATCATCAAGGTTCCTTAACTGGTTTGAAAGTTTCTGTAACTGATAACCTGAAACATTATTGCTAAACAAATTTAACCTATAAGCAGTCAATTCATAGAAATATTTGAGGTCGACTGGTAAATTGTTTTTCTATAATGTGTGCAATAAACGTAGTAACAGATTGTGATAAGATTAACGTTAAATATGCTGATTTTTTTCACATTTCCTATTAATTTGTCCATTATGGATTTCAACACACACCTCCAAGTTGAAATCTGTAACAGAAAAATTAATAAGAAATGTTAAAAAACACAACAAAATCTGCATTTTTTAAAATTATATTTTAGGCCTCTCGGTTCCAGTACTTCGCAAACTTTAGGTGTTCAAGCTGTAACTTTAAAATTCTTGTTACTTATATAAATATCGTTTGAGATAAATTTTGTATCCTTGGTCCAATAATTTATGGAGATCCAAATATGGATCTGAAATGCTATTTTTACACACCTCTTATTTGGAATCTGTAATAAGCAAGGTAAGAAGAATGTAAAGAAAAGGTACAGTCTGACGTAGTGTTTGTCAGAAATATAAAGCTTGTTGGATTCTAATACTTCGCCAGCTTTCGGCGTTCAAACCATAAAAGTAAAAAACTTTTGAAACAAACAAATACAAAAATATTTTGCAGTTAGTCTGCCATCTTTAAGATAGGATTTATATATATATATATACACATATAGGATAGGATGCTACTGTTTTCTCCAGCATTCATAGCTTAATAGCTACATACTCTCGTTAAATTTCTGCAATATTTTCTGAACTTTTAACAACGCTTTGCTGGAGTTTACTGTGCAGTAACAGATTAAGAGAAACTTTGAAGTGAATAAAGAGAGAGTGTCTGTTTTGAAATATTTGATAATTTTAATATCTTCTTGAGCCGTTGAGAACACTTACTGGAGTTTTAACTCACTTGAGGACGAGAGTATTTGATGGGTCTGGTTTGTCATTCTTTCACCACAAAGTTCCATCGGCGGTAGGCTTAGGTTACTCCACACTCTCACCACAGCTCCTGGACAACCTCTCTCTGTAGAGAAGGACCTTCATTGTTAAGTTTCTGATTATGGACGCTGGATTTGAGGATTACTGATACTTAGTGAATGGTCGAATAGCAAACGTCATCAATGTTTAATTTTTTTTTAAGGTGGTGAAAAAGAAAATAGATGAAATTTTATTTTACGTTTTAAACAGTTAAAATCTCCAGTATAGAAGGGAAGCAAATCAACGTTTTTTACTTTTTTAATACTTACGAATGAAGATGTATTAATACCTCTTAGTACGAAGAAAAAAAAAGCAGTTAAACATTTTTATTTTGGGGGAATGAAGACATGTTGAGACATGCAGGAGTGAGATAGGAGTAATTGGATGTACAGGGCGGCCCCAAATAATCTTTCCTATTCTAACATTTAATAATTAAAGAATTAAAAAAATACAACCATGCAGTTTTCAACATCTTGTAGCCAAACTCAAACAGCTTTTATTGATATGTCAGTAGAATTCTAAGTGCGCGCCATTAGTGGCTCTCAGCATGTCTAACCGATATTCGATTTCATTCCATGTTCGCTGCAACATGTCCACAGTGATGATGGCATCCGTTATCCTGGTTTTAACTCCGTGATGTTTGCTATAGGTGTGCGATACATAATGTCTTTAGCCCTATAAATCCAGGCGCAGTCTTTAAATTCCTTTATGCACACGTCACAAAGTGTTACTGAGTTACATTCAAAATTTAATCAAATCACTTTACTATCAATTTATTTTAGTGAAATTTATATTATGTACGTTATAGTTCAAAATTTTATATTATTCTAGTTTTTATTCCTTCATTTCAAAAGAAGCATCGAAAGCAATAATGAAAACTTCTCGTTTTGTTGTCACGTGATGCACGAGCTATAAACGATTTCGAACTTTCAAAAAGCAAAAGTAAAGTCACACAACTGTAGTCCGGTACACTGATGTCTAAACAGTAACATGTGTTTATTTGTCCTGTTGACAGTGTCATTCAAAGTTTTTTGACTGAATGCAGCAGAAACAAGTAATAAATTTTGTCAATCTCCGACGTGTGCTTTGTGTAGTAGCCATATAGCTTGTACACGTGTTTATAGTCGTTAGAAAGAGCTCATTTTACGCTCATTCTTCTTCTTTGCCGATTTTTGGATCTTTTGGTATACCTGGGAGGGTCACGTTCACCCTCGACCTCTTCCTCCCCTGCATTTGCTAATTTGTTACTAACAAATAAATTTTGTCAACCACTGACTGGTGCCACGCCCACCTTCAGTAGATTTGTTTGAACTTTATAGCCTACATGTAGGTTACATACACGTGTATAAAGTCATTAGAAAGAGAGAGCTCATTTTACACTGTGAGTTCTGGATTGGTGGTTGTGTGAGACATGGGAGAGTCAAACCTCTTCCTTCCTCCATGACTATTATTAATAAATTATCAAATGCTATAGTTTTTATTCACGAAATCAGATTTATATGCGATGTAACACACTGAGTAAAAACACTGATTCTTCTTCCCTCTTTAGGGTCATGTCCTGGAATAGTATACCAATAGAATTTAGTGCTATTCTGCTCCTTCTCTTTATTTGATCACATATGCTCACGAACACTTCATACTAAAGTACAATTCTGTAGCAAAATGTCACTTTGTTCACTTCGCATAAGAACCAACGCGTATTTGGCATAAAATACCCTTTTAAATACACTTGTGGCATTTAAATCTAGCATTTTACACACACTCTCTCTCTCTCTCCGGATCGGGATTTAGGTCTTTTGTGACCTAGGAGGGTCAGGTTCGTGGGGACCTCTTCCTCCTTTCCGGACTGTGATTTATCGTCTGTGAATGTTGATACTACATGAGGGTCGGAGTAAACCACACTTGCTCCGACCTCTTTCAGGGCAATGTCCATGTATATATCCACAGTTACATTCTGTGTTTTGCATAATGCAAGTAACACATTTCACTAGTTAGAGACTAATCGAATACATTTCACATATAATACCCTCTTAAATGTATTGTTCTTAGGCTCTAACTAGTGTGGAATTTAAATGTCTAACAGTAGGTGACCTGATTACATCCTTATTTTTAAAATAAATGTTTACAAGTGAGAGGTACTTAGGTCTACTTCCATCATGTATGTAATAATGATCAAGTTCAAAAAAGCAGGTCATTCTTTTGCCAATTTTTCTCAAAGTAATTTAGAGTATTATGCATGAGTCTATCGGCTATTGTTTGTATATTTGCATATCTGTGCATAAATTTGATAAGGTACTGCGGGGGACTTTGTATGCTGTGGTGATTATTGTGTTTTGTATAGTTTGTAGTTTATTTATGTGTTTTGGAACTATATTTATCCATGCCGGGCTGGCATAATCTATTATGGGACGTATGTAAGTTTGTATATTTTAATAATGTTATCAAGTGATGTTCCCTG